ATCTAGAGCGTACTGAAAACGAACATTTGGCGTACTGCAAGCGAACACTCAGCGCACTGGCAGCATACCACAGGAAAACGAACTATGTTCGCTTACAGTTTGGCAGATGGTGCAAAGTGATACATATGCGAACTTTTGACGCACCTTGACGAACATACAGCGACCTGCTAGCAGAAGGTCGCTACTAGTACGTTTATGTTCGTCATGACAAACTAAAAACAACCTAATAGCATACAGAAAATTTTGCGTCGGGCAAGTACGCAGGAAATACTGAATACCAACAAGTACACAGTATTTCCTGCGTTCAAGTACGCACTTCGGTTTCCAGAGTTCTTGTGTCATCTTCTAGGCCTAGGTTTTGGTGATATCTCACGAAACACTGTTACGCTGCGACGCGCCTGGCACACATCTACCTAGTTATATAAACGATTCTCTATCATTTCCAAGGGACTCACGTACGGAGAATTTCGTGCAAGCATAATGCGGATCACAAATCATCTGTTATACGGATTAAGTCGGCCGTATTATGGATTATTTGATACGTGTAATAGGCTATTCCACAAAAAAAAAGTTTCGACGTCGGCACCTCAAATAAAAGATTGGATCTAGTAGAGACCCTGTGCAGAGTTTGGCCTCTGTGCGATAACGTTTACCCGACGCGCATCGCGATTTTCAGAGCGGGCTCGAAATTGGCGCGCAGCGGGCCGCCATCTGATTGGCTCTGCCGTGATGACACGGTGGGGTTAGAGGAGACGTCTCGGGTTTAAATTGTGACCATATGGGTCCTACTCCACATTCGACATGGTGAATCCGAGCTCGCGACTGACCGGGCGTGTCCAGGGTCCTAAACGTCGTGGGCCGCGCGGCTCGCTCCTGGCAGCCGAAATTGGCAAAATCAAACATATTGTTTTTGCCAATGCGAAGGCCGTACCGTGCCCTTTTCAGAACTATGTAGCGTGCCAGGTAGCGTTGACGCAATTACTGAAAAAATTAAATAATGTCAAAAACGCCTGCGTACTAGGCTACGATGCGCTACAGGCGTGTAACGCGGGTAGTCTAAGTGACGTCACCACAGGCGCAAATACCTGTTTTTAAAACTTTTTCCAGTTTGCACTTTGCACAGGGTCTCTACTAGGTCCAATCTTTCATTTGAGGTGCCGACCTCCAAAATCGCCGACTTCAAGCACCAAATTGGAATGGCCTAACGTGTAACAAACATGCCTTTATCCGTGAGGTAGACAAAAAATAATAATGTTAGAACGAGATTACAAATCAAGCCATGTTTGTATACTCATGAAGTTATCCATATTACGGACGATTTCATCCATATTGCAGATAATATGTGATCCGTATCACAGTTGCGCAAAATTCTACGTAGGAGAGTCCGTAATTGGCTGAGCGATAGCGGAGCCTATTATTTCAGTGATGATCAAAAAGTTTCGTGACTGTGTGTCTGTCTGTTTTCTGTAATCACGATAACTCGAGAACGGTTTGAGCTAGGTACCTGAAATTTTATGCGTATGCTTGTAGCATAAAAAT